GAGGGAGGGAGGGAGAGAGGGAAGCTCAGGCCCACGGAGATGTGCTGGCAGGGGTGGATGGAAGGATGGACAGAGGGATGGACGTGTGCTAAGGCAGAGGGATAGATGCTCCAAGGTTGGCTGGATGGAAGAAGGGATGGAAGAAGGGATGGAGGAAGGGAGGGAGGAAGGGATGGATGGATGGATGGACAGAGGGATGGACGGATGGATGGACGGATGGAGGTGCGCTGGCAGGGGCACGTGCACAGGGAGGGATGGAGGGACGCAGTCCTGGTTCTGCCACCAGCCCCCTTTCTCTGGGAGCCGTGTCCCAGAACCTGGTCCCCCCTCTGCCCCCAGGTCCTGCTGCTCTCTTTCGCACTCATCGTCTTCCCCTCCATCAGCCCCTTTGCCCCCAGCAAGGCCAAGGCGGACGGCGACTTCGGACCCGTGCGAGGTGAGGGCTGTGCCGGGGCTGCGCCAGGAGCTCCGGGCACGGGAGCGGGCCCTGACCCTCCTTCGCACTCAGTTTTCTCCAGGTCCCTGCACAACGCGGCCGCCTCCCGCGTGGCTTACACACAGCCCCAAGCCGGGGACGAGAAGCCCCCGGAGCCGGTGGCCGGAGACCTGGGCGAAGCCCCCGAGACCCTGCACGAAGCCTTCGGTAGCCGCACATTCACCCCACGCCCGGACAAAGTCTCCCCCCATAACGGCACGCAGCCGCTTGCCTCGGAAGGGCTGAGCCGTGGGGACGGGGATCGAGCTGACACCGCGTCCGGGGACGGCACCGCACCGCACCACGGCCTGGCGTCGCTGGCTTGGACCAAGGCTGGCCACAGCAGGCCCACGGTGCTGGAGCCGGCTGAGGAGCTTTAAGCAGCACCCAGGGACCACGGGGGACGCGATGGGGTGGCTCAGCACCTCAGCCCCTACGGGACAAGCCCTCGGGGTGGCCCCTCTAGGATCTGCCTCCAGGCGCAGGCGGATGCTGGACCCACTTGGCTTCGCTTCTATCTGTGAACTGGGAAGATGAGACCGGTTCCCACTGGCCTTACTGGGAGGGAGGGGGCTGCTCCTGCCCCCCGGGTGCAGCAGGAGTTGCGGAAGGGACACGGGGTCGCTCAGGATGGGGACGAGGTTAACTGGAGGGGTCCTGAGCTGGTTGGCTATTGATGTTGCAACTGGTTGGTTTTCTTCTTTTTTTTTTTTTTTTTTTGGTGACCATTCATCACCCCAGGTGAAACCCCAGAATAAACTGAGCTAGAAAGATGTAGGCCTGGATAAGAAGATAGATGGATTTTTTTTTTTTTTTTTTTTTTTAGTAC